CAGCCCCGGCCCCCGCCCCCGCCGTTCGTGAGCAGCCCCCAGAGCCCGAGGCCGGTAAACCCCCAAATCATTCAGTTTTGCAAGGTCAGCTTGCAAGGAAGGAAGAAACCAAGCGGATGCACGTGGAGAGAGCACAGGAGAGAAGGGCTGTTTATGTCCAGCAACTGGGGGAAAAAATTAAAGTTTTTAAAATGCTAATAACCCCATTTCTTCCACTGGAGCTTCACTTGGGGCACTGCCACATGAACGGTGGGGCCTGCAACTGCTGCAGTTCATTCACTGTCAAAGCAAGAACCAGTCCCACTGGGCTTCGCTCGTCAGCCAAAGGCAAGAGTGCTGCTGCACAAGGCAAGGCAAGACCTTCTAGGTGGCCAGTTGTGTGGTCCTCCCAGAAGAGGAGTGTGCACCAAGAGGAAGCCCCCGGCAGCAGAGTCCTCGGGAGCAGGCAGCAGCTCACAGCTCTCCTCCACAGGAGGCCTGGTCTCCATCGGGTGGGTGAGACTGCCCCACAGTCACAGCATGAGGACACGTCCCCTCCTCCGGGCCAGGCTGGCACACACGCTGTGGAGCAAGCCCTGCCCTTTCCTGGTGCACTGAGGGGTTCTGGAAGATCTCAGATCAACATCACAGAGATTTTTAGTAAGAGCCACTGATTTTGGCTTGTTTCCAAGTGAGTTTCAATGCCAAAAGCATCTGCAGTGCTGACCCACGTGTGCCGTGAACTCCTGCTCCCTCCATTTCCACCTGCTCTCAGTCACTGCAGACTTGCTGGGGGCTGAAAAGCCCCAAGAGCAAGCAGAAAAATAAAACACAAACACTGCTGACGACAGAGGCAGCGCTGCTGGTCTTAACACACTCACTGTATCTTGTAAAATCCACTTCCCTGATGGCACAAATGTGATCAACAGAGCAGGGCCCCTCGCACGGGCTGAGGTCGTATCTGACAGAGTTAAACTCATAGTAGCGCTGCAGGTAGTGAGGGTCCTTTGAGATCTTCTCCAGCACCATCTGCATGGAGCGTGCAGAGCCGTCGGGGACTCGGAAGGCTTCTGTCAGCCTGTACTCCTCCTCCCACAGGGGAGACTCTTCCTCCCGTGCTGCAGCCATCATGTTGGCACGAGTTAGGTTCAAGTAGTAAGTCACCATATCCTGCAGGGAGAGAGAAAACAGAATGAGAACTACTCAGGAAAGGATCAGCCCTTCAGTGAAACGTCTGGCCAGGATGCAAACATGTAAACAGAGCATCTCTGGAGCTGCTTTACCCATGGCAAAGAACAGCACAAACACCCCATCCTCCACCTCCTGGCAAATAAGAGACAGAGGAAACAGAAGCTGCTGCTGCAACTCACCCGAATTCATGATCCATTACAAATGAACCAATTTAGCAAGTAGGTGGACCCAAATAATTTTCTAGATGGTTAAAAGTTTTTGGAAGGTGTTTGTTTGTGTTGTGGTTTGAGGCTTGGAATGGGGTCGTGACCTGCCAGCAACTGGGAGGACCCCGGGTGGGGGTGAAACCATTGTATTCCCTCCCCTTCCCACACACACTCTGATAAGAGGCAGGGAGTGGGTTCTAATTTCACTCCTGCCTTGGAGCTCGGAGAGGAAAGTTCTCCTTTCACTCCGTGGGACCCTGGAACCATTCCTGAGGGTTTTGTATATTTTATCTTTTGTATTATTCCCCTAATCTTTGTATATATTATTTTCCTTACCTCCTTTTTTCATTTTCTGTTCCTTGTTGAACAATATACTTCATTTTTTTTTCCAAAGTGTCTCTCTCTCTCTCAGGGGGGGAGAGGCGAGTACATAGTTCTGTTCTGTGTGGGTCCTGCCCTGAACCCCTTTTTACACGGAACCAGGACAGTTTGACAACTCTGTTAGTCCTCAGAGAAGTTCTGCAATCCATGTTGCCTGGGCAGTAAAGTGAGTGTCCAAGGAAACTCACTGAGGACATGCAGAGCGTGACCGAGCCTGTCCTGCGCTGCCCTGGGGCACTCAGCCCAGCAGAAGGCCTCAGCAGCTGCCTGGGCTCACCCTGCCTTTACTCACTGATGCTCTTACTAAATCTTTGTGCTAGACATAAGGCTGAAATCATCTCCTGCAGAGCTGCTTGGCTCCTGCAGTCCTGCCTGTTAGAACTGCAGGGAGGAGTCAGAGAACTCCCCTGGAGCTGCAGGGTGCAGCACACGGGGACCCCCTACCGAGACCCGGAGGGTGGCAGGGTCGTAGTGCACCACCCGAACCCCAGGGTTGTTGGCTCCGTTGTCCACTCCAGGCAGTGTTGTCTTCCAGGGAGTCACTCCAGGGGCCAAGAACATGACGTTGATTGGAGAACCTTAGCAGAAACAAAAACCAAGGCATGAGCAGGAGCCCCTGGGGGTGAGCTGCCCACGCCGTGGTGGGCACGGCTGGAAGCCCCTTGGCCACCTGCCCTGGTCACAGCAGCACACACAGCTCTGCACGTCCAACGGCGCCGGGGACAGGACATGGGACACCCCAGCTGGGACCCTGCTGCCCACCACTGCCCAACAGTCCCACGGTGAGGTGCAGAGGAGAGCCAGAGAGCTGCTCGTAACCCCGACACCGAGACTTGTAACTGCTCCCTCACGTCTCAGCTGATGTCCAAGCCCAGCAACAAGGAGCAGGCAAGAGGCTGCAAGGCACCAGGGGGGAAACAACAAAATTTGGAAGTAAACAGGAAAGAAGGCTGGAGATATAGAGGCTGGGAGTGGACAGCAGAACCACTGTTGTCTCTTAGAATCACAGAATCATTAAGGTTGGAAAAGACCTCCAAGATCAACTACCATGGCCACTAAACCATGTCTCAAGTACTGTCCCTATATGTTTTTTGAACCCCTCCAGGGATGGGGACTCCAGCACCTCCCTGGGCAGCCTGGGCCAATGCCTCACCACTCTGCCAGGAGAGAAATTCTTCCCAGTATCCAGTCAAAACCTCCCCTGGTGCAACGTCAGACCCTTTCCTCTCGTCCTATCACTGGTTACTTGGGAGAAGAGACCAACCCCCACCTCACTCCAACCTCCTGTCAGGAGCTCTAGAGAGCCAGGTCTCCCCTCAGCCTCCTCTTCTCCACAAACACCCTCACATCCCTCAGCCCCTCACAAGCCATGTTCCCCAGACCCCTCACCAGCTTCCTTGCCCTTCTCTGGACCCAAGAAGGGTCCACTTGCTGAACAAAGCATTTCAGAAGCTTCTCTGGCTTCTCCGCTGCACTCAGCCAAGAGGCACCGAAACGCCCCGAGGGCAGTGAGCCCCTGGGGGCTGGCAGAGCTCCCACACAGGTGCCCGGGTGGCCAGAACCGGTACCTGTATCGCCGTAAAACATCCGGAAGCTGTCGGTGTGATGGTGCCCAAAAAACTGGGCAGCAATGACCCCGTGGTGCTTCTGCACGATGTGCAGGTAGCGCTCGTTGAAGGCTCTCCGGAACCAGGGCTTGCCTCGCTTCTTCTCGAAGAACCCGGGAGGGACGTGCCCCACGACATAGACCTACAAAAGCAAGAGCTGTGCTGAAGGCAAAGCCCACGCTCCCCACAGAGAAAGCCCACTGGGACTGCAGAGGGGACAGCAGGAGCAAGAAGAGCTTCCAGGCTGGAAGATGCCCTCTACAAAGCTTTTTATTCATTTCTTTTAATACCATTTCGTCTGCTCTAGAGGCATTAGTCAGCGTTTCCTCCAGCCACTGGAACTGCCCTCCAGGATCCTCCTCTCCAGCTGTCTCGTTATTCTGGTCATAGTACAGGTTGGTGTTGAGGACAACCACGCGCCCCCTTGTCCCTGGGCCGGGCAGCTTCTCACTGTAGAAGGCTCCTGAAAAATGCAGCCGACAGGACAGAGCTGGAGTCCTGGCCACACTGGCTGCTGTGACCAGAGAAGCACAGAATGCTGAGTTGGAAGTGGCCTCAAAAGGTCATCCAGTCCAACCCCCTGCAGGGAGCAGGAGCATTGCCAGCTAGAGCAGGTTGCACAGAGCCCCATCCAGCCTGACCTGGAATGTCTCCAGGGATGGGGCCTCCACCCCCTCTCTGGGCAGCCTGGTCCAGTGTTTGACCACCCTCACATAGTAAAAATCTTCTTCCCAATGTCTAATCTAAATCTACCCTGCTTGAGTTTAAAACCATTTCCCCTTGTCCTGTCACTACATGCCCTTGTCAGCTCCCCCAGCTCTCCTGTGGGCCCCTTCAGGGACTGGATGGCCACCCT